TATATATATATATATATATATATATATATATATATATATATATAAGTAATATATAGAACATAGGGGTCTGTAAACGCTTACAACAATGAGGTGCTCAAACTCAACACATGCCATTTCTACAGTTCGCTCAACAGAGAGTTCCACAATATCTTTAAGTTCTTTACATGATAATAATTTACTAGCTAAAATTAAGGAGCCACCTCTTAAAACCGTTTCTCTATTGAAAGAACTGACCACCTGGTGATTACTGAAGTTAAACATTAAATTATGAGCTTTTAACCAATGTTCAGTAATACATATAATATGAATATTGTTGCTATTTAAGAACAATTCAATTTCTAGTTCTTTGCCTATCATGCCTTGTATATTCTGATGCACCAGGTGTAAACAATTTTTATTATCATTTTGTGGAGTTATACAATTGCAACTATTCAGGATTTGTAAGCTACATTCTAAATTATTTAAATTATTATAACTGCTAGAGATTACCTCTATTGTCTCATTTTCTAATTTAAATTACTTGGAACGGATTCCAAATTGCATGTCAAATCATTATGCTGCTCAATAGGAGCAGATGTCTGGGTAGCCAAGTCCTTGACTGAGTTAATATATAAATAATAAGATAGCACATTTGCTATCTGTCTTAAATTATATTTGGATAGGTAATAGGTACCCATCTGTAGTCAAAAATTTCTTAATTAAATTATTAATGTCTATTAAATTAATTCTATTGGTATAATTGTTACAATTAAATGTCAAATTTAAATTATTGTTACATGATAAATTATTCATTAATAAATTTAAATCATATCTTATTTTATTCTCCTGTGGCCAACCCTGTATGTAAGGCAATGTAAACAAGATTATTTTGTGTACATTTAAAGTATTGAGGTAATCAATATATTTTAATAATTGATTTTTGTTTACATTGCCTCTTCTCCCAACAAGAATTATTAATGTGCTATTAGGACAATACTTACTAGTTAATACTTTATATGACTAAAGGATGCTCCAGGCATACAATAATTACTAATCAGTTGTCCTTTTAAATTGTTAGTACCCGGTTGACCGAGCTTTGCTCGGTATTTTTCGCTCGGTTTTTTTTTAATTCGTGTGTTTTGGAAATTATATTTAGATACAAATTACATACTGATGAAATACGAATAATATTTTTTGATCTTAGCGACATAATAGAAAAAAACTGAACTGGTTATTTGAATAAAAAAATCATGAGTGCAATTAGTTATAACTTAAATTTTCGTGTTTTTAAAAAATGCTAAAAAAAGGGCTGGAAAAAATAGATTTTCTCAAAAAAGAAAGGAACTTGAAAAAAAAATTGAAAAAGTAGGTTGGCCGGTCTGGCTCGAACCACGGTATTACGATTTCGTGACCGCCCAATATATCAATTAAGCTATTCGTTATCGTTAATAAACTGTCAAAATTTACCTTCATATTCTAACAATATTGTAGCAGTTTTTCATTGCCTAAAACACGGACAAAAAGACATTTTCTAAAAATAAATCCTAGCTAGATCGATTGTGATTGATGCCCCCGAAACTCCCTGCACGCAAAATTTTATGAAAATCGTTGGAGCCGTTTCCGAGATTCCGATAAAAAAAAAATAAAAAAGACCCAAAAAGGGAAAAAAAAAAAAAAAAAAAAAAACATAGACAAATAAAAAAAAAAATAATATATATATATATACAAGAATTGCTCGTTTAAAGGTATAGGATTTAACATCATGCCCAAATTTTTTCCTATGTCATCACAATATATAATAACCTTATGTTTTTTACTATTTAAACTACTTTTTAAGTTTTTATTCTTCGTTATGGCACCGTCATAGAATGTTGGTGAACTAAGACAGTTACTATTTACACATATTGTCCCCGATGAACATGGTATGGAGCGTTGATTCTCACTCTGATGTTTTATTAAGGAGTCAAAGCGCTCCTCATTGTATTTACATGACTTTACCAAGATCATTCATGGACCAATATGTGTTCTTTAATCTCAACCTGAGCCGATGCATATATATTGGAGATAATTTGTAAGGAGTTTTTAAGCGACAAAACTTCTGAATTGAGACACTCTATTTCAGTCTCATAACAGTTTTTCATATTTTCCACCTCAATTGAATATTATTTAAGTTTATTAATTAATTCATACTTTTCCTTACATATATTTATATAGTTTTTTGTATTAATTTTAGTTTTAATTAACTTTTGTACTTTCCTAACATATTTATTGATTTTTATGATGATATGATTTTAATATATATTTCTGTAACTTTCTTCTACTGCATGTAATTCTTTCCGCTGTTCTTGATGTGACAACATCATCACCAGTCAAATCGATTGTTGTGGAGGGTTGCAATGTTTTTGAAGATTTAAATTCTATGAGACTTTGAGTTTAGGCCACTTTCAATTCATCTAAGTATTGTTTTAATTGTTTTAATTACCATAAAATTTAATGGCTTCTGAAGTAGTGTGTGGAAAAATTAATGTGGAAGAAAAATATTACATGGTAGATATACCCTATAGCGGGAGTGCAGCGTATTTTGGTTACAACACGCAACAATTGCATGTCGGCTCGACCGGGGAAGGACCACAATCACACAGAGTACCGGCCTGAAACTGCTTTGTACGGTGATGGACAAGAACCGAAGACCGTTTCTTGTAGTAGTTCTTGTAGCGCCCCGGGCATTCCATTTTAGTCATCAGGAGTGACAATACGTCTGCATTTTGTTTCTTGTGGTTCTAGTAGCCGTTAGCGCAACTGCTGATAATAAGGCCCCGGGTTCAAATCCCGAGTCAGATAAAAAAGTTGATATTGAGTTTTCTGGCGAGAAATTCTGTGTAGCAGTCCGGAGCAAAGAATTTAGCGAAGTTTCAGCACGTGCCTCGTAAAGCACGAAAAGCCGTTGGTCCGTCGTCTGATCTCTCAAGTCGTGTCGAAATTCCATCGCATCGGACTATGAGAGTGAGGAATAGAGAGTGTTATTGTATATGCAAACTTAGCCACCTTTATAGGTGCAATTTTTTTCCAAATTTAGGCCACCCCTAAAATATAACATATTCAACAAAAAAGAATTATCGAAATCGCACATTTACAGTACGTAACTCATCAGAATCTTACCATACCTACTGTCGAATTGTAAGCCTCCTGCTCATTTTGAAGTCGGCTAAAATCAAAGATATTGAGGATTATTTTACACTATTTATAAATGTGTTTTTACAATCAAGCATTTTTATTTGATCATTGAATAAAATACAATAAAAACTATTTTGTAATTTAGGAAAAAACATCACTAACAGAAACGTTTGTTGTCTGATTATTCCACTTTTTATTTTGATACAATAAAAAACGAAAAAAGCAAATTAGGTATGCATTAAAGTAATTTAAAAACAACGCAGTTGTTTTAAGATTTTTATCAGTTGTTCATTGTTGCGTGAATGTGTTACGATAATTGCTAATCAAACAGGAAAAATTTATTAAAATATTTTTAACCTATAATATTAGTTATTTTTGTATTTATATTAATTAAAGCATTAAAATTTAGACCTATTATATAGTATATCAGCGTTCCGCCCCGGCTTCGCACGGATAATATCTGGATCTCGATAACAGTGTCACCTACCGGCTCCAATGGTAATTCTATGCCATCCAGGGGCCCAATCAAATACACAAAAAAAAAAACATCAAAATCGGTCGTGCCATTTTCGAATTTTTGCGAAATTAAAGCACCACATTGTTTTTATATATTATAATAAGTATATTCAAAATATAACACTTCCTACATAACCATATATTTAGATATTTTTAATATTCAGTAATAACTATAAAATTTGGTCTGTAAGCTATAGTATAAATTTATTATATTAAAACGTTAAGAAAATTAAAATTCTAAACTTGTTACATGAGCATTATATGTCTGTCTCTCAAGGATCTGTTAGCGCGCTACTTGGAGCTGCATGCGGTAGGTGCCTATGCTTCAGGGGTTCAAGAGCGCATCTATACGTTTGTTGGCCCAGACAGGGGCGAGTAGGGGCTAGTTGTCGAGGCGGGGCGAAGCGGCGCAGTGCGACGCTATCGAACGGGCTGCTAGCATCGGTGAAGTGGGGAAAACGACGTCGCTAGGGCTTGCATGCGATGTAGAGCACATCGATGTATCGAATGAGAAACGATCCAATTTAATCGATTTACTTAATTTTCTTCACACTTACATTATGATTGAAATTCACATTATCATTGAAATTCAATGGGTTTCTTGATGATCAGAGAGACGACTTATTTCTATATATTATACTTAAAATTTTTATCAATTAAATTATTTCAGTCAGTAAACCTGAATATAAATTTAACGTCAGACTTTTAAGCCCACTGCTGGTCACGCCTTTCCAAACACGCGACAATGTATACGTTGGAGGAATTGGTCATAATCATGCCATGTTAAACATGGCACGGGTAAAACGAGCGGTATTGTGTCAAATACATATCACAAGCCTGTGAATTTTAGAAAATAATTAAAGTATGGTACACAAAATAAACATATGGTATTTTAATTACGTTCCTTTATATTTATTTTATTGCTAAGCATTATTTATCGTATTATCCTGAAAAACTAGTGTTATTTTATCATTATCATCAAAACAGCCTATCATAAGTCCTCTCCTAAACAAAGTAATGTCAAAAAGCACGGTCCTGAGCCACCTGCATCCATTGACATCCTGCATGTGTTACCAGGTCGTCACTCCATCTAATATAATATATTTGATATATTACTTCAAATATATATTAATCTATTGACAATGAGGAACAAAGAATAGTTTTTCTAGAGTAGCAGCTTTGTATGTATCTTATTTATGCAGCTGTAATTTTATTTGTTTTATATTGTATTTTATCCTATCGATTATATCGATGACTTTAATTTGTTGATTGAAAATCAACCCTAATTCTGGTTCTCGATTAATTATTCTAAATCGAAACACGAGAAGTAGTTGGTGCGCGGCACGGCGGTGCGTCGCGTGGCGTCGGATGCTCGGCGGCGGCAGTGTGCTGGCAGCCCCCGGGAGCGCGGCATGGGAGCCCCGCTGCTGCTGGCGCTGCTGGCGGCGGCGCGGGCCGGTGAGCCCAACGCCACCAATTTTACCACCTTACAACCCGAAGACGAAAAGACTCCCCTCTTCCCTCCGGACTTGTTCACGGAAGAACAACGCCGCTCCGGCGCCGTCTTTCTCCACGTGCTCGGCATGGGATACATGTTCGTAGCGCTCGCAATCGTCTGCGACGAATTCTTCGTGCCCGCTCTCGATGTCATCATCGAGCGGCTCGCGATAAGAGACGACGTCGCCGGAGCCACGTTCATGGCCGCCGGCGGCTCCGCGCCCGAACTCTTCACCTCCATCATCGGCGTGTTCGTTTCGTTCGACGACGTCGGCATTGGGACGATTGTCGGCTCCGCAGTTTTCAACATTTTGTTTGTAATCGGTGCTTGCGCGTTGTTCTCCCGTACAACTCTGTCTCTAACCTGGTGGCCACTATTCCGTGACTGTACCTTCTATTCGATCAGCCTGTTAGTGTTGATATATTGTTTTCGGGACAGCATGATATACTGGCAAGAGGCCTTGGTTTTGTTTTCCTTGTACGGCGCATACGTATTGTTCATGAGGTGGAACCAACCAGTGGAGAGGGCTCTGAAGAAGCTGATCTACAAGAACAAGGTGACGAGAGTTAGAAGTACAGATCAGCTGATGCCTACGGTAAGCTCGCCCGCACACCCTGCATGTTTAGTCTTGATGTGGATTTGGTGTATGAAAGCATACATTTATCTAATAGATTTCAGTTTCTTTTAACAGTACCTTTATTATAATCAATCCCAAATCTACCTCAATCAGGAGTATGAACTTTAGCTATCTTAACGTAGTATACGAAAGCTTGATACATCTTGCGTTTTAGTATAAATAGAAACATTTAGTAAAGTATAAATTTTATGGCGTATTCGTCGATTAGCGTGGATGTAATTTCCTATACATTCATAAATTTATAGTTTTGGCGTGAATTTAATTCTGTAGAGTAAAAAAAATAATGTACATGAAATATTTTGATATGAATTTAAAAACGAATTCGATACACAAAACGTCCGATTTCTCTTTTGCTCTAACTCTTTTAATTCTGAATTTAGGTAGACTTGGCGTGGATACCGTTGATGGTATACCGGATGTTTGTAGTGTAGATTTGTAACTTGTTTATAATGAAGTATACGAGAGGTGTCCTGTTTGAACCGCGTTGTTATGGTGACTGCACACACTCAACCCTACGTTGCCTTACGTAACAATGCCTTGCCCAGCTCACGTGTAGATTTTAACTCGATTTTAACGATAACGCTCGTGAATTTTTATAGTAACTCTTACTAACTTTGTTGCTTTACGAGACGATACGGAAAATTAGGTTAAGTTTTCTTTAAGGTTATTCTTGATCGCGTGCCAAGCACGGGATGGGACTATAACTATTAGTTTCCTTATAACGTCGATTATAATGGTTGATTTTAAAACAATATTTAATATCATAGGTTTACTGATTATCTTATGGAGAATTATTTGAAATAGAAAGATTATTTATTTTAAAAGTCTATATCCAGAATACAGTAATAAATAATGAAATAGATTTTACCAATTAAAATATGATGCCACTTGAAATTGAAAAACAGATTATTACTGTTTATAAATTGTATCATTAAGCTATTTTATGGAATTTAGTTTTGCAACACAGTGATTTTTATATTTATGATATAAAGTAAAAAAATACTGTTTCATAAACCAAACGAAGGGAAATAAAACGCTTAAAACCGTACTTGTTAAGGTTAACCTCTCGAGGAAACTATTGTTTTAAAATATACCACTGTATTTCTATAACAAAACATCCTCATGAAAAACGACTGTTACGTAAACATAGCAAACAACAGTTAGTATTGTGCACGTTCTATAGTACCGCTGAACTTCTACAAGCACGCTACGTCGTAGCTCGCTACGCTTCAGGTACGCAGGCTTCTAGATCTCATAACTAAAAAATAATGCTTTGTTTCGCAGCTAGTGTTAAAGTTAAGCCAGAAAAGTTTTAAGTTTTACTATTTACTCTTGTTAACCATCTATTACACACTTATTATAAATCAATATATGAACTTATTAACTACGGAAGAGTCAGCTTAAAATTGCTCTCTCTCTCTCTTTCTCTTCACTAAATGAGAATAGAAAAAGACAGGCAGAACATAGGTTTCCTTCATATTTGCTTCATAGGTCATGCTTGGCTAGCGGGTCATCAGGATGTGCTGCCCATTACCTGTTCCATTTTACCTCTGTCGTCGCTTACGAGTTAATTTAAAATTTAAGTATGCGATAAGCATACTTAAATTTAAACAATTATAAGTTATCCCGTTAATAATGGAATTTCTAAATATGTTTAATCATTATATTAAGAAAAATTTAAAGAAATTTTTAATGTATATTTTACGAAGCAAAATATGAAATATTAATATATTTATCTCTTTATTTGAACATTACTATATTGTCACATGTCCCTTCAATAGCTATCTTTTGCTTATTTTGGCATCGATAACATGTTTCGGTAAGAGCTTGCAGTGCAAACAAAGCTTACGTGATAGGGATCAGTACGAAAAAATTTCTTGGCCAAAGGACCAACGGCGTACTACTCTATCTCCTGTCCGTTTATACTCTTCCTAAATCTTATCCATCGGTAATTTAAATCATGACATATTTTTAATAAAATTAATGATAAAAACGATTTGTGGCAACCATGCAAGGGTTATGCCTGTAACTTTTGACACGAGATATAGCCATGATAAAGTCGATTACCAGCGTGAGAGTGCGGAAGCTTAGAAAATAACGCGATGCCCGCGTCGACGGTACTATATGTCTCATATGTCTTCTACTGTAGGTGAACTCCCCGCATGTGTGCGTGAGTGCATATCCTCGTTCACTCGAGTATTACAGCTACATCACAAGCTGGTCGGCTCGAGCAGGGAAGTACTACGCTTTTACAGAAAATGCCGCTGCTGTGTATCTTACGTGATGATAAAACCAATATCGTTTTTTTAATGGTATCGAGGTATAAATTGCAATCCTTAGGGATAAGATGCAGATTTATTTTACAGAATAAAGATGGAAAATAAGCATACACTCCATCTGATGGTAAGTTGGTGATGGTAGGTTCACTACACTCACCATAAGAAACACGGCAGCATTAAGCTGCTATTTTAAGCTGGTATTCCGTGATAGTGTGGTACTTTTCCAGTCGAGCCGAACCATTCGTGCTACAACTGTAATTTAGCACCTACATCCCTAACACGTATAAAGGTTTGATTTATAATCATGGATATATTTAGATGTCTATAGATTACAGTAACCACCAGATGACTTTTGTGCTCGTATGTAAGTCTTATTTGTATAAAAAGCTAAAGCTTTTATAACCGTAACAGAAAATATTTATTAAAATACTTTATATTATAATAATCCAAAACTTATATTTTCTAAATATATAGGTACAAGCATGTGCTCTCATTTCGGGATTCCGATGCAAGGCATTTGTCATTGCTGCACGTGAATTTCATGAAAGATATTAATCAGCGTAGAATACAATACGTTTGAATATGAAGCGGTGTTCTCTCCCCTACATTTTAGTGTACACAAGGTGCTCTTTGTGTATGCTACAATATATTATTTATATACATCGACGTTCCCTAGACTTTTTTAAATAAAAGTAAGGGGGACAAGTGAGCACACAGTTCGACTAATGATAAGTAGATACTGTGGTCCATAGACTCCTATGGCGTTTTCATTAAAAGAGTATCAGGTTCTCTACACTCACCACAGGAACCGAGCAGCATTATGGTCCTCTTTTACACTATGTATGTGAGAACGTGGAGCTTCCACAGATGAGCAGTACGAAGCTGTAGCCGTAATATAGCTACAGCATGACCTTACTGCGTAAAATCTTTGCTAAGCTAAAATGTTTGTGTCAAAAGGTTCTTTGAGCTATATAGCCGCCATACTGCTACTTCAGCTTATTAATGCGTTAGGTGATGTCGGTAGTTCTGTTTCTACTGCGGGTTTCCTTTTTTTAAGTCTATCACGAAGAAATACTCTGAACACAGTTCTTTTCATAGTTTACTGAGCGACATTGAGCTTTCTTATACTGTCAGCAGTGGTCCTTCACAGAAAGCATCGGCTGTATAAGAAGTCGGAGATCCATAAGTCATCACCGGCAACAGTAAAATCTTCTGAAGTTTTGTTGTATACATGACGAGAAAATGTGTGGTCAATAAACGTCAATAAACCTCGCGGTCGAAATTACGCTCGCGGACTTACATAGTCGGACTATTTTTCCCAGGTGAACATACTTGTCAACAGTTGTTGGGAATACTAAATCAATATAGTTTAGTGTATCCAACAACTACCGATATCGGTGTGACATGGACGTTACACATGACTTTCGTTTTGTTCGTGTTCATCTTAAGACTTATCCGTTGGGAGACACTATTGAGGTCATTGACCATAGTGCTTAGGTCCTCGAGCGATTTTGCGTCAAAACTTCTCACCAAGTCGAAGATGAGTGATGAACTATGTTTATACCGTATCCTTTCTAGTCCTGTAGCTTGAAAACGTCTTCGAATGCAGCAATGGAGAGTTTCCTGGATATTACGTCAGATGTCTTACACCTGTCAGCAGTTGGATGGATTTCGTACTTTGGTTCTGTACTTGGATAGCCATCGTAGCCCTACTGTACAAACACTTTAGCACTTCGATATACCGACAGTAAACTGCCAAATGCCAGGCAAAGTGGCAGATTGTACTCTTCGGTCTTTTGTACAATTTGCTGAAGGGTACTGTATGTGGTTAAGGGTACTACAGGCTTTTCGAAAACCGGTTTGTTTGGGAGGCTGGAATTCGTTGAGTCTGCGTTCGAGACGGTTCGTAATGACTCTCCAATCCAGCACATAGATTCAAAAGAAAGAGTTGTCGCCTTTCTTAAAACACAAGATTACCACACTTTTGCTCCATGCCTCGGGAGTAGTGTTACCATGGAGGATGGAATAAATGAGCTTCAGGAGGACTTCAAGTACTAGTCTCAATCCGCTTTCATTAGCTCCGCTGTAATTCCATCCTCGCCAGGGTCCTTGCCGTTTTTAAGGTGCTGGAGAGCTATTCTATTCTCGTTTAGACTGACGTCTAGGATATCATCGGAATAGCGTCGGATAAGACTTCCCCTTTAATCGTTACTTACACTTGCGTGTGGCTTCATTGAAAATGTGTACAGCTGCTCGAAGAACCTCTTAATTTATTAGCTACCACATTCGTTCTTCCGTGCCATGGTATCTCAGGTGGTTAACGCTCGCTGTAAACAGAACGTGAGTAACCCGGGTTCGAAATTATTAATTGCAATTTTAACTGCTGATTTAACACGTGCTTGGCGGTGAAGGAAAACATCGTGAGGAAACCTGCCTGTCTGAGGAATAAGAAAAAAAATATTTCGAAGACATGTGAAGTTCGCCAGCACGCATTGGGGCAGCGCGGCGAACACTTCCTTGCCCTAAAACCCTCTCAGAAATGAGTGGAAGCCTGTGCCCGGCAGTGGGACGTATATAGGCTCTAACTTTACTTTACTTTTTTACATTCGTTCTTCAGCTTCGACGGTTAGCTTTTTCTGGCAGACAGATGTATGGCATAGGCTTTGGAGCCTTGGTTCCGCTCGAATGATTCTTTAGTACGTACCTTCACATGCATTTTGAGATTTGTTTGTTCAGTTGCTGTCAAATCCGCTTAAGTTTGCAGCTTACTTTTCAGTTTAACAGCCATGACATTAAGAGTATGATCGGAGTGTTTTTATGTTCTTCTGC